AGCAAAACTGTGTTAAAAGTCTTTCTGGTTATTGCTGCAAGTAAAGGCTGGTCAGTCAAGACAACAGACATCAAATCTGCTTTCCTTCAGGGCAAGAAGCTGGACAGAGATGTGTATTTACAGCCACCTGTAGAAGTAGATGTGACAGAAGGAAACATATGGAAGCTTGAACACTGTTTGTATGGCCTGGGTGATGCAGCTTGACAATTGTACTCCAGTGTGGTGGAAGAATTGACAAAACTAGGATGTTTGCAATCAGAGTATGACCCAGCATTATTCTACATGAAAGAGAAAGGTGGCATAATTATTTCATATGTTGATGACTTCTTACATGCTGGTTGTCCACTGTTTGAAGAAAACGTTATGGGATGACTGAGGCAAAAATTCATAGCTGGAAAAGTGGAAGAAAATGCTTTCAGATATGTAGGTTTCCACATCAAGCAATACAACCAAGGAATTATAGAGTCCGAAGAAGACTATGTGTCTGATATCAATAATGAAACCATTGCATCTGCCAGGGTCCTAAAGAAAAATGAAGTTCTAACACCAATGGAACAAACCAAATTCTGAGGAATGCTGGGCAAAATCAATTGGGCTGTTCAATGTTCGAGACCAACACAGCGTTTGAAATGATAGACTTAAGTACAAAGTTGAATAAAGCAACAATTGCTGACTATGTCTGAGCAAGCATGGTCATCAAGAAATTACAAGATGGTTCATCCAAACTATGCTTCCCAAATCTTGGTCCCAGTAAACACTGGAGAATGGTTGCATTCTCAGACGCTTCCTTAGGAAATTTGAGTGACAGTGTACCGTATATTACCATAGATAAGCCGACCCCATGGATAAGCCGATAATCAGTGTCAAAATGGTATGTTTTGTACATAAGCCGACCCCCTGCGATGGGTCGTGGCCAACTTCTACAGACTGCCTTTTGTTCCCTCAAAATTCGGCTTATCTACGGTAATATATGGTAAGTGGTGTTTGGGCACACTTAGTTTTTCTCGTGAATCAAAGAAATGATTGTTGCCCTATATCATGGCAAGCTAAGAAAATAAAGAGTGTGGTGCGATCTACGATTGCTGCTGAAACCATGGCGCTGTTGGAGTCTGTTGAAGATTGTATTTTCTTGAGAGCAGTTATTCATGCCATGATAGACAGAATAGACCAGAACATTCCTATTGACATCATCACAGATAACAGGAGCGTAGTGGAAGCCCTGCAGTCTATTGACATCACAGATAACAGGAGTATAGTGGACACCCTGCAGTCTATTGACATCATCACAGATTAACAGGAGCGTAGTGGACGCCCTGCAGTCTATTGACATCATCACAGATAACAGGAGTGTAGTGGAAGCCCTGCAGTCTATTGATATCATCACAGATAACAGGAGTGTAGTGGAAGCCCTGCAGTCTATTGATATCATCACAGATAACAGGAGTGCAGTGGAAGCCCTGCAGTCTATTGATATCATCACAGATAACAGGAGTATAGTGGAAGCCCTGCAGTCTATTGACATCACAGATAACAGGAGTATAGTGGAAGCCCTGCAGTCTATTGACATCATCACAGATAACAGGAGTGTAGTGGAAGCCCTGCAGTCTATTGACATCACAGATAACAGGAGTGTAGTGGACGCCCTGCAGTCTATTGATATCATCACAGATAACAGGAGTATAGTGGATGCCCTGCAGTCTATTGACATCATCACAGATAACAGGAGTGTAGTGGACGCCCTGCAGTCTATTGACATCACAGATAACAGGAGTGTAGTGGACGCCCTGCAGTCTATTGACATCACAGATAACAGGAGTGTAGTGGATGCCCTGCAGTCTATTGATATCATCACAGATAACAGGAGTATAGTGGATGCCCTGCAGTCTATTGACATCATCACAGATAACAGGAGTGTAGTGGACGCCCTGCAGTCTATTGACATCATCACAGATAACAGGAGTGTAGTGGAAGCCCTGCAGTCTATTGATATCATCACAGATAACAGGAGTATAGTGGATGCCCTGCAGTCTATTGACATCATCACAGATAACAGGAGTGTAGTGGAAGCCCTGCAGTCTATTGACATTACAGATAACAGGAGTGTAGTGGAAGCCCTGCAGTCTATTGACATCATCACAGGTAACAGATAACAGGAGCTTAGTAGAAGCCCTGCAGTCTATTGACATCATCACAGGTAACATGAGTATAGTGGAAGCCCTGCAGTCAACAAAGTTGGTAGATGACAGCTGGTTGTGGATCGATGTGGCAGTGATCATACAAGAACTTGTACATGGAGACATGAAGAAGGTGTCCTGTTGTCCTGGGGAGAAGCAGCTCGCCGATGTGTTGACTAAACGGGGATCGTCAGGAGTGAAGTTGTGCCAGATTCTTCGAAGTGGAAAGCTGTGTCTGCGATGTGTATCATGTGATTTGTGTCTGGGTGCAGAATAATCCCCTAGAAGCACGAAGGTAGTCTGCCTCATGAGTGCTTCTGTCTAGTGAAACACTCTTAACTTAATCCAGGGTAAAGCAGATGAAGAATCCATAAGTTGAACTTTTAACTATACAATAAAGAAATGACATTGCTACATTTTTACAAGAAGAAAAAAAGAGAGACAATTTATATGAATGTTGATATTAATTATGCATGCGCGAGAGCCTGCAAGAGGCTATGAGATTGTATTGCCTGAAGTGTGATCGGAAAAGATGGTGAGAAGGAAGCATGTGTGCTGTCAGCTGTTGTGATGTTACTGGGGTAAATGGGCATGAACATCGACATGGGCCTTCTATCCACTGTGTGTTGCTTTTCTTCACCAGTATCCTGAATTCGGCATCTTCTTTGTAAGTCGTAGCGAGTCCTAGTGACGGGATCTTCTGACGTGGCGGAACATGGTGACATACGTGTCCTTGGACTTGTCAGGAAGAATGCAGTACACTAAGGGAAACAACCTGCATGTAGAGTGTACAGCTGGTAGAAGAGATGGGGAGTGGAGTAGAATGTGCCGTAGATGACATCTGCATCAGTCAGGAGCTCAAAGTTGGTTGCGGAGGTGAAGATGAGTGTTCTCTTCCTCAGGTTTTCTTGTTCTTGTGTGTGTGTATATAGAGATGATCTGTTTGACTGGCATTTTAGAAGTATGGTGAGTAATAAGAAAGTAAGATTCTTTATACTTCTTTTCTTGTATATGATGCGACGTTTCAGTATTGATTCTTATACCATTGTCAAGCAAGAGTGACAACGGTATAAGAATCCATACCGAAACGTATGTGACAGAGACAGAACTCAGGTGCACTAGCCATAAATCAATGTATTTTGTTTATGGTGTATAGCCTGATAGGTGGTAAGTTCAAATTGCACGTGGTCAATGATTGAAGTTGTGTATTGCATATTGTCATTAGCAGACAGGCAGGCAGACACATAGGTGTCAATAAAACAGACATTGAGTTTTTGTCTGTGACAGAGACTGCTTATCACAATCGACATATTTTGCTATGTTTCCATAAACATGTATTAAAACATTTCAGTTTTCAAGCTGAGCAATTTTTAACAATGAAATTAGTATTTCTAATGCTACACTTCCTTGAAAACTTGGTTTGCAAATCTGCAACCAAGTATGGGACCAGTGTATTTTTATTACTGGAGACCCAAGATGTTTGTAATCACAAGAAACATCTTTTGTTCTGCAACTTAGACCACAGCGACAATCCTTGCACGCATCACTTGCTGTGTTGTTACGAGTTGCCTTCCTGGCTCAAGCCGCGCGAACCTAATCACTGTGCATGCGCTGTTGAAACCACTTTTCACCCCAGCGCTGGGGTGAAATTAGTGAAATTAGTGAATCGTTTGAACTATATTTTCCTGGGTTTTCTTTCATCGCATTATTTTTCAACTTTATAAGTTGAATTTGCATTTTTGATAATTTGTTACTGTAAGTCCATACCGAAAGGTATCAGAATCTGCAAAGTTGTGTTTTGCGTTGCATGTGACCTTTAATGAACTTAGCTCCTTAGTGTGTTAACATGGTCTGTTGCAGTTGAGAATCGACTTATTAGCATAGAACCACTCAAGCATGAGTCGACTGATTAGTCTGGCTGACTGTTCAAAAGTCAACGAATTAGGCCGTCATCGTTTAGGTCATCTGAGTGCTGTCACTACTAATAAATACTGGTAATAAAGTCATTAACTGAACATTCAGTGAATAACAAGAACAATGTAAGTGTAAGGATTAGAAGATAAGACTTGGATGATAAAAAGGGAATAGTAATTGTTGTGTTGTATGCAATTTGCCTAAAAATGTAAGAGTCATAACTGTTTTGAGTACAGTAAGTGAACGTCACTGAAAAAATAATATGCACACATAATTGCAATGCACTGAAGTTAATTAACTGTCCATACACATTTCCACACACATACACAAATTTGCAAGGCGAAAAGTTTACATATGCATAATCTGATCAAAGATAATGATTCAAAGGGACTCCCGGTTATCAATGAGGTGCTTCCTTGATGGTCCTAAACCCAACGTGTAGCTGACACTACTTGGCATTAAGAGATTACGCGGGCTAATTAACATTTCACCATCTGGGCTAATAAGTTGACGTTTGCCTTTAAGATCATCCATTGCTTTCTCTATCACTACATGGGCAATTGTAACACATCACTGACATATCTAAGACAAATGTATCTTGAACACAAGCTGCCATCTGAGTATTCACAATGGATGTGCGCAGCAACCTGCCTTCTTATAGTAAATATAATGAAATCAGTTCTAAAACAAATAATTCAACGGTACTTTTAAAGTGAAAATCTCATTACTTAATATTTAGTATCCTTGTATACATAAGCAATAGGAGTGTCTCAAATTTGATATGGAAGTTTTACCCAATGATGTGAGACCTATGGTGTCTATATTTAGTGGGACCCTTTAGGTGAGAACATTATTTCTTGATTACCGGGCACATGGGCATAAACATAAAAATAAATCAACAGCATCTCTTACTCTTCGGTGTCTGGGTTCGTGTATTGTTTTCCTCCCATAAATCCGTATCTGTCAACATTTGCCACAACTGAGCCATTGGCACTGCTCTTCCCCAAACCAGACACTTCTTCATCACTTCCATCACTGGCAGAATCCATCGGTTCACCTGGATTAGCATTAGCCATGAGACACTTCGGAAAAAAACAAACCAAATCCTGACAGTTCTTACATTACGTTATACTTGACTTGTACTTCCGTAGAAAAGGAACACCTTTAAAACTCCGAGCTGTCAACAGAAAATATTTCCGATATATCATTCACAGCATATTAAAGAGCAGAACATCAGTGGTTATGGTAAACTAAATCCGTGCATTTCTGGAATCTGATTACTGCATATTTGTTCATAAATGTGCCCAGTACTTCCAGAGCAAAACAGTCAAAGTTTTCGTGAGTTTTCCGTGTTCTTACAGGAAGTGCGGTTTGGGAAGTTTGCGCATGCCCATACCCTCTGATCCAGCTGTTTGAATGGAAATAATCGTTTTTTATAACCACCTACGGATTACTTAATATGTTTCAATGCATTTTAGATATGCTTTTGTAATGCTGTGTTATCGTGCTTCTATACTCTCTTATTCTATCGCACATTACGTGCAAATATTACAATTTTATTCCATTGTATGTGGACGTGTAACATATTAGGGAGAAAACCGGCTTCTAAGAATATAGGTCGATGCGATTTAAATGTTTGTATCTCTTTTCATGCCACCAGTATCCACTAAAATTGCATTGCCTACATAACTGATGGTACACGTTGATAGCGATAATTGACACAAAATCTAAAGACTTCAGAAATCATTTCTGGTGACATCATAAAATAGTCCGACCGACATACTGTATTCTGTCGCATGTCGCACTTGGTCACTTACAGCTGACCAAAATCTTTTATTTGTATACAAAGTAGTTTTTAAAAACTAGTTTTACCAAAATTTACATGCGACAGAGTAACCATTGGAGATTTCTTTAAAATATACTGTGTGTTGCAATGCTCCCTTGATCTGCAACTGAGTTAATACCTGATTATTGGCCTTCCGAGGAGTAAGAATGTCCACCATAAACTACGGCTCGAAGGGTAGAACATCAAATCGGGGAAGGCAGTCGGGCGCTAACTCAAGCCACACATCTAGGTTTGTTGTCATTCCGAGTGAGATATCTCTCACACAATAATTTTTATATAAATATTTTGAGTGAAGTTGTCATGTGTAATGATATTTTTTTCATCATCAACATAAGTTACACGATCGTCCAGTTGTTGCCCTTGGTTTATGAGCAAGTTTTGGTGCTTAATGTGAATTAAGTTACCATTATCAAGATGCATCTGTTCTTTTGAGTACAGAATAAGTAATTTACATTAGGATATGGTGAGAGTGTGTTATTTTGTACTAATTTAACAATCGTTTTAATATCGCAGAGCTAGTGTCATGAGCTGTTCTGAGGAAGGGAATTGGGGTGTGGTGTGTGCTGTGTCCCATGTTTTGCTGCCAAAAATGCATCCATTCATAATTGGCGTAAAAGTGACCCTACAATCATATTGGCAGCGAATATTATGGAACTTAATGTATGCCTTCATACATGTAGTAATGGCCACATCACACTTGCCTAATTGATAGAATCACCAGCTAGAACAATCTGTTGCATATTTTCCATCAGGAGTGAGGTATCATCAAGTATCCCAGTGTCAGGGGTTTTCGACGATGTAAGACAAAAACGTATTTTTTATCTGTAATATCATTTAAAGTTTGTATTTTACTAACCTTGAGTGATAAAGGATATACTCATCTATTTCACACAAAAATATCAAGTGTTCCCTTCCAAAATAGCGTTGAAGAAATCGTATCGGCGAAACTGTTGCCGCTTGTTACATCCGGGTATTTTGTATGGGTTTTCGACGATGAGCCATACTTTTTGCTCCGCACTGCGAGGGAGTGTTGTGATCATGTGGCTTCCTATTTATATATTGCCTGTTACCAGCAGACGACTGATCTAACTGAATTTTCGCTTGCTATTATTTGTTATAAAGGGAACTGATTTTGCCTCGTAAGTGGTATTAACGATCTCGGGTAAATAATATTGATGTTTGTTTGCTTTTTATATAACTTGACTTCCCGATTTCCATTGTCAATAAAACTTCTCACGACAGCGACTTGGCACCCGCCCTACCAGTGAAACTGTTTGTGCACTCCGATCGCACACGTACTCCCCCAGATATAGCGTGTGCAATGCAATCGTCGAAATCACCAGAACGTCGAATTCAGCTCGTGTTGGGATATTCTCTTAGTATGTGCACACTGTCCCACTTGACACTTAGATTAAAGGGTGAAGAATGAAGCAGAAGACACCTTGCCTCAACATTAGCAGACCCGTGAAGATCCGGGGTAGAATAGGTCTTCAGCAACCCATGTGCTTGCCATAAAAAGGCGACTATCTTGTCGTAAGAGGCGACTAACAGGATCGGGTGGTCAGGCTCGCTGACTTGGTTGACACTTGTCATCGGTTCCCAATTGCGCAGATCGATGCTCATGCGGTTGATGACTGGATTGTCTGGTCCAGACTCGATTATTTACAGACCGCCGCCATATAGCTGAAATATTGCTGAGTGCGGCGTAAAACTAAACTCACTCACTCACTCACTCAACATTAGCAAAGAGACGTAATGATCTTGCATGAAAAATCGTTTGCATGAGCAAAACTTGGAAGCACTTTTGGTCAGTTCATTGCTGCCAACTTATCCAAAGGCAAACACCCCCAAAACAATTACTGACATGCATGTATGTATGTATGCAGAAGCACTCATATCTGGATTAAAGTCTTAGTAACCCTTTTTAATAGCTAACTACCTCGCTCGCATCATGTATCACTATCACACATAACATGACTTGCTAGTAAACAAGTGACCTGGTCACGTTTAATATAATCACTCGCTTTACACTGTCATATTGAATGCAGTTTGGCTCATGAGGGATCTCATTTTATGTACAAATGGTGGGGAATTTGGTAATTCCTATTCTTTCACTATTTAGAGGCCTGTTAAGTTACTCTGGCACACAAAAGCAAGCTTCTACCTATCAATGAAATATATATACTGTTAACATTTTCCATTTGGGTCTGTTCAACCAAAAGTAGCACTTTGTTGCATGTAATATGGCTTTTGAGTAGTAAAAATACTCTTCCTTATATGGAAATGATCTTTGTAGGTTCTACATTTCTATTTCATTAGCTTTTATTGTCTTGGACTCATATTTCATCAACAAAATTACCTTTTTCTTCAACATTTGTCTGTTCCATTGTTGTTTCAGAGATAATATCAAGAGGTACATTAATTTCTGTATCCAAACCAGGGTATTTGTTGTGCACATTGTGAATGTCTGTATTACAGAGTGAAAAATAATTATAGACACATTTATATCTAGGTTTATGCACAACACGCAAATGTGCATCCAGTACTGACAAATGAGAGAATAGAGTTTGGATGCAGAAGGGACACACAATATTATTCATTGTACCCACAACATCTATGAGTTTGCTAACCGTTTGGTTGTTTCTTTCAGAGCAGTAACGCTCATCATTTCCTCGATCAGTCCACATGATCACTGATTCATTCGATGCTTTAAAGAAATTATCAAAACGTACAGTTCTCTACACTGTTACTTGATACTGTCCCCTGTCCGTGATATTGCTGGAATATTGCTTCAAAGCAGTGTAAATCCAATTCACTACTTCACAGGACCCTCATATTGCATGCAAGGACCCTTAAAACTAATAATTAGGGGTCCCCGGGGCCCCCATGTTTGGGAGTCGAGGTAAAACCCTGTGTTGCATCATGTAACATGCACATAATGACCTAACAATACATATATATCGCTGTCAGTTTAAAAAAATACTTTTACACTTTAGTGTGAACCTAACCATTATTGGGTAAGGGTTCCACTGGTTAACCAAATGTATGTTACAATAACGTTCTACTGCTATGTGTTATGGTCTTTTCTTTCAGAACATTTGCGTGCATCATTTCATCCATCAGTCCACATGATCAATGATTCAATCTCGGCTCTAGAAATTATGAAACCACATTGTTACTTCACAGGACCCTCATACTGCTTGCAAGGACCCTTAAAACTAATGATTGGGGGTCCCTGGGAACTATGTTTGTGATCGAGGTAAAACACTGTTGTCATTTTCATACCAAGCGATTCAGATGTGGATTTGAATAATCATGATTCCCAGTTTTGTCCTTGGTCAGACATGTTTCAGAACATGATAAAATGTACCTACACACATGATACTTGGTAGGGGTGAACAGGCATACCACGGTATTAGTAGAACCGTGGTATTTTGCTTTCGGTTCAGTATACCGTAATGCAATCCAAAAATCGGTTTTTGTACCATCATTGTGCTAACCTTTTTAAACTTTTAAAAAATGTCTAGAAGTCAAACCATTTTGTCAAAATCTATCTAGGTTTGGCTCTTGTCAGTTTTCTGCATTATCATCATATCTGAACCGAAATGGACCGAACCGAAGGCCTTGTACCGCAATACGTACCGTACCGTGGTAAGAGCGTACCGTTTCATCCCTAATACTTGGCAATAGTTTGTGTTCTGAACCGGTAATCTAAATGTTACAAGAAGTTCATAAAGGAATAATATAAGTGTTACTTCATTCTGTAACTGTAGCTGGCAATGTGCCTTTCCAAAAGATGTGTAACTGGGTTAGTTGGTTCTATTAATGGTGCTTTTTGAGATTTACAAGTAGTTCTTACCACACATGGGAAACCGCACTGTTCTTTTAAGTAGCAGTTCATGCTCTGTCTGAAAGAATCTGTTTTACATTCTCCTAAGTCAGAGGAAGTGTGCGTTTATGACTTTAATTTGTAGATGTTGATGTGGCCGTTTCATTATTTCTTTCCCCATTTATCCTGCAAAATTTCAGTTTCTTTGTCTTTTTCTATTGTTTACCTGATAACCACATCAACACAAAATACTGTCCACAAGTTCTGTTACATCACATTCAGACCAGAGCCCTTAAATGTCTTCATGCATTATGAATGTCTTTCCATTCTGGTTGATGCCGTTTCTCCACCCTCCCCCATACTTCTCTCATGACTTTGCCTTATAATTTCTTCTCAATTATATTCATGTCTGTCCTGATATTGTACTTCCATTCAGTACATAGCTCTGTTGGTAATTGTTTAAATCAAGAGACGATGCTCCCACCCTCTTGCAGGCCATACACATATGTGCCTCTTGTTTAAAAAGTTTTTAAAAGGTTGCCTCGGTGGAATCAGGAACAATATGAACACATACGGAACAATATGAACACATACAAAGGATCTCATTTCAGTCACATTTATGGTCCTTGCTGATAAAATGGCTCTGTCTGTCATTTTGAAGTCCTCTTCTTGCCTCTAGATCTTAGGTCATTTCTGTATGGGATTTGGTGGTCAAAAATTGTACCATTAGAGTTGTCTGTTTCTGATATGATCAAAGGTTGATGATTTAATTGTATGAGCCATTCTTGAAAGGACATCTTTCTGTTGTGCAGTGTAGCTCACAAGATTGTCTTATTGATAAATGTTTCTTACACACACAATCTTTCACCACTGATGCTAATGACACAAATATCTCTAGCCAGGGCATCAAATTGTTTTTGTTTCTTGAGCAGATATCCAAGTAAGGAAAAGATGTATAGGTGAGCAACATATTTACCGTGATAATGAGCAAATGTTCATTGTATGTTCTGACATTGTTGTCTAAGTGAAATATTATTTTATATACCCGTGAAGTTAGACTTGGTTTTCAGCAATCCTTGTTGCAAAAGGCGACTAACGGGATCAGGTGATCAGAGTCACTGACTTTGTTGAAACATGTCATCATATCCCAATTGCGTAGATTGATTCTCATGCTGTTGATCACTGGATTGAGTGGCCCAGACTCAATTATTTACTGACTGCCTACATGTAGCTGAAATATTGCTGAGTGCAGCATTAAACAACAAGCCAACCAACCAATCTAAGTGAACTAAAGAGTATGGATGAGAAATGTGTAAACAGGTTTGGGGTAGAGTTTTTACAGTTTGATAGATAAGTTTTAGATAATGGTGGCGGGGAGCTGCCTGTTATGTACACAGAGTAGATAAATTAAGGTAGAAAGTGTTAAACATGTGAAGCCATCAACACAAGCAAGGAGATTTTGTGAGATCAGAATCCTTGGTGAATTCATAGCAGGCAGGAGGTATGTAGTTGACGTCATCATGGTTCATTGATGCCCAGAGTCTTTTGATTTGGTTTGCTTATTGGAATTTTATCATCTAGAAGTCTTTGAGGCTAGTTGTAAAGGATATGGTATTGTTCTACTGGGTGCTGTAGCTGTGGTTGTCTCAGATATGGTCCAGTATCACGGCAGGGGAACACTGTGAAGTGTCGGTGTAGAGAACTGTACGTTTTGATAATTTCTTTAGAGCCTGGAATGAATCACTAATCATGTGGACTGATGGAGGAAATGATGCACTCTGCTCTGAAAGAAACAACCAAACACTTAGCAAAGTCAGAGATGTGTTGTAGGTACAATGGATCAAAGTGTGCGTCCCTCTGTAAGCAGTGATTTTTTTTCTGTGTCCATTCTCTACTGGAAGTACTGGACGCACATTTGCGTGTCTTTGTAAAACCCTGCAATAGTATACTAAGGATGCTGATGTCCACTTGTAATTACCAATGCTCATGCTGTTGATCACTGGGTTGTCTGGTCCAGACTTGATTATTTACAGACCGCCGCCATATAGGTGAAATATTGCTGAGTGCTGCTTAAAACTAAACTCACTCACTTACTCCACTTTTAATTGTAAATTATATGGGGCCCACTGAAGCATGGTAGTGGAACCAGCTGTTGTCTTTGCAATCTGTTTAGTGTTGATGAGGTTATTCTTGATCTCATCATGTTTGACATCTTGATTTTGTAATTTGGAATTGAATTAATTGTAAACGAACACATGAAATTTGCAATTTTTAAGGGTTGTCAATTTTTCATAAGGACTTATGGTCAAAAACTGTTATTTTCTATTACTGGCATCTAGGTCAGTAAATTGTGCATTTTTTAAGAAATACATAGATTAATTAAGTATAACCTGTTCATTATTGTTTTGTATACATTTTCAGGAGTGGTTCAAAGAGATCTTCTTCAGAACGTTTTCTGGTAAGAACTATTGAAGAAAGTATTTTCAGAATTTGTTTTTTGTCTATTTCTTCACTGTCACAGTGCCCCTGACCCACAATCTTTGACAACATCTTTGACAAGTAAATGAGTTTTCCTGATTACCACAACAGTCTGCTTTGCAAGATCCATTTATTGTAATTTTCTTCTAATTTTTAGTTCACTTTAGCTGAAGGTTCAAATGAATCTATGTAATGCCATATCGTCTATCTGTCTTAAAGGCCTGTGTGCAAACCGAAAAAACCCCATGATTTTCCAATTGGTCTCCCACTGGCTACTCCTCAGAAGTGTAATGCCTGTGGGTGCCTGGTGATGTGAAAGGTTAACCTTGGAATTTACTACTAGAATAAACATGTGCCTTATAGTAAATGTCCAACAACCCTTTTACTACATTTTTTGATGGCTAAAAAGATTAATTTGATTAGGATATATGAAATTTCATGAAAGACAACTTTGACAAGGCAAGGAGGCCACACCCATCTGTGTATAGGTTTGAACCCCAGCCTTTAAACCCTTACAATTTTCAACATTTCCTCAAAGTGTATGGCTGAAAATTTACATGTATGGTCCCTGATTTCTTAAATTCTGTTTGCTTTGTGAAAATTTATTGATACCATGAAATTCATAATTCAGGTTTGATTACAAAGTCTCTATTCAAGTACAGAGTAGAAATTGTGAGACATGACTACGACTTTGTATTGGTGTCATTAGTCTGAAAGATGAACAGAACTTAAGAAAATAACAAGATGTAATAAAAGTAAAAGGACTGTACACAATTAGAATATGTTTTGGGGTTGCTTTTTCATCAAGATAATCCAAGACTCGAATCCACACTCTCAGAGTCAAGCACCCAATTGCCAGTAATCGAAGTCAGCCATCTAAGTACTAGAATCTGTGCTTTACTGAGAAAGTGTGATCCCAAATATAACATGTTACATTTGACTACTTTCTAAATGGTATTGTGCATTCATAGCTATGGAAGCAGTGCCAATTTACACATGTCAGAGGGGTATATAAAGTCTGTGTTCTTGACTACCAGTTGTCTGAGTTTTGTGGAAGCCACGGTGGCTGAGTCAGTTACCTGGCAATTGGGTACCTGACTCTGACAGTGTAGATTTGAGTCCAGGATTGGACTAGAATCTGCACTTTACTGATAAATTGTGATCCCAAATATAAGGTGTTACATAGCCATTTGGTACTTTTGTCATGTTGTGTATAATTGCTGAGGAATTGCTCGTCATGGCAAAGACCTGGCTTGAGTTCCGTATATGGGTACAGTGTGTGAAGCCCCTTTCTGGTATTCCCCTGCTGTGATATTGCTGGACATACAGGAACTGGTGGATCTGGTGCCTCCACTGTTGCAAACATTAACAGTGTTCTGAACTACATTTATTAATGTTTTTTTGGTCTATTGATTATCAGAAATCTTTTGGGTCTAATTATTTTGCACACTGCACAGCAATAACCTTGAACATATGACACTGGAAATAGCAATCAGTTAATGCTGATATTTCACTCCCTGGTTGTAGTGGTGTCCATTTGATGTCTTGTTTTTATGCATTTTATTAAATTCACTCAAATGATTATGAAACATTGTGGTTCAAATTTTGGCAAAGTTATGTCACCCATTCAGACTATTTATAGTGTTCATGCAACACCAAGGATTCCTACCCTGAGATTCAGCCATCTTTGTGGACATGTTAGATTGTACAGTGACACCTGCCAACACCGGCACCTGTCTAATCCGGCACACTGTCAAAACCAGTATTAAATTTTGGTCCTGCCATTTTACAATGATATTGTGATCATTAAAACCAGGAATTTACCTTGAGTCCTGTATTTGAGGGTCTCTGGGACTCGTACTCTTAATTTTAAGGAGTCCTGGACAACAAAATGGGGGTCCCAGACACTTTAATATTATTATTAATACTGTTTTTGTATTGTGTATCATGATTATCACATTGTTACAGTAATTAAATTGCAAATGACTCCATAACCCAGCTAGTAGCAAACTCAGTGATAACCTATTGTTACTTGATTGGAATTTTTTTGCGTCCCTGTGGATGCGCTGATAAATTTTGTTGCGTCCATTGCCAATTTTTATGCGGTTAGGACGCAGGAATTCACGTCCTGTAAATCCCTGATTAAAACTTTGTCTAATCCGGCACCTGTATATTCCGTATGCCGGCACAACTTTCCGGTCCAAACAAGCAATTTTAACTGTAATTAACACTGTCTTTACTGGTATGGGTATGCGCAGTCCAATCAAGGACCCATAATCCAATAGACTAATTAATCCTCTTGGCACGCTAGATAATCAGGAAGTAGTGATTGCATGGTGAATCAAACGCTCTAAGTGGGCATGAGATTACTGTCTCAACATTGTTTTAATTTGTTGCACAATTACAACAGATCAAAGTTATTATAGAGATAAAGAGATTGACGAGTGTAAATGACAACCATGTTGGAAAATGATCGTCACTGTCTAATCAGGCTCTCTGTCTAAACTGGCATTTTATTTCGGTCCTGTGGGGTGCCGGTTTAGACAGGTGAGCTAAAATTATGTGTCACTTTAACAGGAAAGATGGCATTGTATCTGTGAAAAAAAAGGAATTTAGTTCCTGCAAGATAACCTAATTATTTGTATTTTATTGGATCCTGTCAAATGTTCTCGTCACGATATGGCTGAAATATTGCTGATGTGATGTTAAATATTAACTCACTCACTTTATTGGGTCGTGATACCAATTATTTTCAGACTAGTTGATGGCAATGCAACATTTTTTATGATATGATATATTTCTATATGTTGGTTCAAAATCATACACCCTGTTGCTCCTGACATGAAATAGTATAGCTGACACAGATTCACTCTTGAGTTTTGGGTCTGTCAACTTGACTTGTCTCTTTTTTCAGCCAGAAGGTGTTTATGGAAACTCAAGATTTACACATGTGATATATTCATTAGTGGTAAGTACCATAATAAAGTTCTGTCATCTGAACCAAAATTAAATTAGCACATTTGTCCTGCCCTTAAATGAGTTGCTTCTGATCACTGTCTTTCTCAGTGAAGCTTGATGTAGCTATCTTGATTTAATGTCATAGGTTTTGTCGATATCATATGTCCTGCCATCTGTCTGAGTGTCATAAATGTGTTGCAGAGATAAAAAATTATTTACTTGTGTTACGGTTTAGAAATTGCTGTGATAAGAGGCTTGTGAGTCACCTTTAAACCAGCAAAATATAACATAGACACAGTCAATAATATTCAATTGTATATTGTTTAAACAAGGTTACAATGAATTGCAGTACAGATTTCTAACACAATACAATTGGATTACAAATCTAAGATATTGGGTCACAACTCTAAAATATTAACTCACCAAAGTATTGATATTCAGATGTACTGATTGAAGATTGTTGACAGCTGTTGAAAGTTTAATGTAGATAAGGCCTCTTGAAACGTCGATGTTAGCAGACAGAGTAAATCCAAAGTAGTCCCCACAAACATCTCAGCAACAATCCCCTGTATAGGTTTGCACAGTTCTAGAGAATTCTAGCAAAAGCCACATCACACCTCTAGCATTTAGAAATTACTGGAATCCCACTGTCTTCCACGAATACTGAATGTATCTTGTGTTGAACTGGTGCCTTTTGATAGTTTGAAAATTTAGTCGGAAAATAAAAGTAGTGCTCAATTCCCGAGCATATCTTCAAACAGTAAAATATTTCATCACCTGGTGCCTTTTGATACCATTACATATTGGAGTCCTGCTTACTGATTCATGACATGTAGTTACCATTGTGGTGATACTGGCAACTTTGGTCTCTTCTTACAACTTAGAAAGGAGGATCTCATACCTGGTTTCACTTTACATTCTGGGAATGAAACTGACTCCACTACAAATTCTAATGTGCCCCTGTTTTGGGTCATGGGTGACCTACTTGTCTGAGGTGATGCAATTGTTTGTGCAGAATTGCATCTTTTTAGAATATAAGAAACATGATTGTGGTTCTTTTATGCTAACACATTGTGATGTAACTGGAATTCTGTTTTAAATAATGTTAAACCAAACTCACTCATGGGGTTAATGGTGACACACACCTACCAGCTTTTTGTCTCCTCGTCATAGCTGTTGTGAAGTGTCAGGTGACTTGCAATGCTTTGTTTTGATATTTCAGGGCTGTGTAGTGCAGGTACAGGTCAAGAATGGATGTTCATATGAAGGTGTCTTCAGAACAATCTCACCAGAGGTATGTTGTTTCTTGATAATTCTTGGTTTCCCTGAACTCCACCCATGAATATGTACTGAGTTATGCAAAATGTTTCCTGAAACTGCCTGGATTTGGTCCCAAAGGGTGTCCTTACAGGACCTGGTTGTATGAAACCTTCATTAACTGCTGGCTACATTATAACCTAATGATACATTAGATTTTAACCATTATTAGTCAGTGAACATTAATGCATCTCTAAACTTTGATACATCTGGATCCAGTATATTAGTAAGTAATATCTCATAATTATCTCACCAGTTTCATATGAAAAAAGGCAATGTAAATAAAAGCAAACAAAACTCTTTCCAAATGTGTAGAAAATACCTGGCAGATGCAATGGCATGATTCCAGCTTTATCATGTGCCTCATTGTCAGCAATCATCTTTGTTGACTTACTTAAAACCTGTTGAACCATTAATAGAATACTTTGCAATGAACCTAGTATCATTCATAGTTTAGTAATACGAGTGACATATGCAGCAGGAACAAGGCTAACTTGTCTCCGTGTCACAACGGCATATTTAGACAATGCATCTGATGAGTAGTTTGAACTTTGACCATCTTGCTATCACTTAAGTCAAACACTTCTTTCAGTGAATAAAAAGCTTTCATTCCTTAGGATTTAGCAATGTTTCAATATGATGCTTTCTCAAGTACATCCTACTAAGAGTTTTAATGTTTATTGTGTATAGACAAGTGCCATGGAGATATATGAATGGTTGAGCAAAACTTTTTAACTTCTGCTATATTCAGTTTGGATTACATTTATAAACTACTTGTACTTAAGAATGCTATTTATTTTTCCTTATCCTGACTCATGCTCTTTTGCTTGTCTTCTTCTTCTTGCGAACATAGTGGAACACTTGTATCTCCTTATTTGAAGCTCCCTTCAAAATAAAATCACTAATTGGTACTCACCACGAGTTGCTTCCCTCTGTCTCCCCTGGCGGGAAAAGGTGTCGCCACCTTCTGCCCATGTGCTTCACTCTCTCCTTCTTCGCCCAGTGAGCAGGATGTGAGAGCGCCTCGTGTCTCCTTACACACCATATCCTTTGATAATCTCTTAGTTTTTACCTCTCATAGGTTACTATAGAGGTATAGCTAGTATCCTTTACTATTTGTATTGATTAATTATCATTATTTCTACTGTTTATTCCGTGTATTCGCGTGATTGTTCAGCTAGCTTTACGTTGATGAAAATCTATGCGATTTGTAGATTACGTTTTCTGCCTCCGATCCACATGTAATATGCCCTAGTTGTTCTCTGCGTAATGCGTTTAATTCACGTTGCAGTTACTGCATTAATTTATCTCTTTCTGCATTTAATAAATATCATCTTTGCGTCTTAAGACGTGCTGCAGATAGATCACGCAAACAAGGGCAAAACATGGCAGAGAATCCAGATATTCCATCCAGTCAGCTGCTAGCGATCGACCCTCTCCCGTCTGGTGTTCTGCTAGAGACCCTGCGGTAGAGGAGCGATGGGGCCTTGAGTCCGTTACCTCGAAGAAAGCGACCGGCCTCCCCAGACATCCCGTCATTGCAGACCAAGTCTAAGAGGGCCTCATCGTCGTCTCAACGCAGATTGAGGACACCCAGGGCAGCGCAGACTTCCAAAGGAAAATCTACGAAGACAGCGAGAACTTTCTCAGCCGAGATCGTTCCAGCAGCAGAATTGGGTCTCTACGATGATCAGCCGATAATCATCCCCGACTTACGGCAGAAGAAGCGACCGGTGTCAGCGACTGTGACTTCTGCAGAGATCACCATGCAGCCTGATGCCTCTACACCGGCGTCAGGCGTTATTGATGTGAACCCCATCGCAGAAGACGCCCGGCGACTTCGTCACAGATCATCCCAGAAGACATGATGCGGCAGATTATGAACATCATGGAGGACCACTACAAACTGCAGAAGCAGGGTCCGAGAAGCCCGAAGGCTCCAGCGTAGACAGCACCCCAGAGGCACCCCCGTCAAGCGTAGCAGCCAAGGCGATGTCACCTTAGCGAAGGAAGTCCCGGACCACCTTGGACGAAGGACCTAGATGTACAGCCTTCGCGAAGGCGGGATAGATCATCACCATCTTCGATTTCATCTCTAGATATGGACTCGGACCATCAGACATCACGGAGGCCTTCGCGAAGGTCATATCATCGATCCCCCGGACCGGACGCAAATGAAGCTTCGCGAAGGCATTCGCGAAGGACATATGATTCCAGATCCTCATCATCTAGAAGAACATCGAGGGACTATAGAAGAGCTTCGCGAAGCTATCAACGTTCACCTCACAAGTCTCGAGAAGATCATCCCATAGGCGATCTCCCGCCGTTCATCACCAGGTCGATCACCTGTCAGATCTCCACATAGAAGCGGCGCGACAAGTCAACTAGATCGCCACAAACCTCATCAGATATACAGACAGCTACGCAGGTCGAAGAGCATCAACAATTTGTTAATGATGATGGTATTGAGGATGATGGAGGAATCATATTTTCTGATGCAGAGATCACGGTATTGGATGGTCAATAACCTAGATCTCACATCACCATCTAAAAGTGGCAATACAAGCAGGCGTATTTGATGAAGGAAGGCGATCCAGATGCAATCACTCTACCCCGATCGACCCGATTTGCGGCAGTGCCACAGAATCTAGATGCAGCTTTCCAGAAAGCTCACGAAAGTTCAGACACCACATCTGCCCAACTTTCATGCCAAGAAGTTCTCCACGCATAACATGGACTCCTTCTACAAAGCCCAGGACATCGATGAGAACTATAAGATCATCAGCGATGTAAAGAACAAGATTTACAAGATGGATGATCGCAAGTTGGCTCATATAGAAACCATGACGCGCAGGCGTATGTTCTTTGGGTTAAATAGATCTAGGACGATCAATGAGACTCTTATTACTAGATTCCGGGATTCCACGACGGAAGATGATAGAATGATTTATTCTGCCTTACTTATGCAAAAAGAAAGATCAGCAGTTTTAACGGATCATCTTACATCTGTTTCAGCAGCACTGACCTTAGCTTCGTCGTCAAGGCCTCCTCGCTTCCTGTAATTGGGGAGAACTTTACAGCCCCACTTTATACAGCCCGTGGTCGACAACATCCATCTTTGGCGGAGAAACGACAAAGTCGCCAAGGAAGTCTCTAAGGATTCCAGGGAAGTCCTTATGATTAAATCGATGGACACACTAGCCAGCGTCATTAGTCAGACTTTACAAAGATACTCAGGCAGATCTAAGTTCACGGGCCTACAAAGAGCAAGAGACAGGAAGATAGCCAGCTCTAGAGGTAAAGATTCTTTTAAATTAAGCCCATATGGCAACTATAGAGGAGGATCAGGAAGAGGCAGGACACCCAGAGGTTCCCGCAACTATAGGCAGCTGAAACACAGGTTCGAACGACTGGAGTCTTCCACCCCAGCCGTTCCAGTACAGCCAGCACAAGTGGGTGGCGCCTCCAACTACACTGGGAAAACTGGGGAATATTGCAAGACCCTTACGTCTCCAACATTCTTCAACTTCACACGGATTTCATTATCCCACTACAGGCCAAGCCTCCGCTGACAATCAAACCCCCAAGTTCGATTTACAAAGCAACAACTACCAAAGATAAGAGAGGCTGTTTCATCACTCCTATCCAAACAGGCCATAGAAGTAATAGATCAAGCAAAGCGTCGAACCAGGTTTCTACTCCCCAGTTTTCCTAGTTCCCAAGAAAAACTCCGGAGAAATACAGACTCATCTACAACATGAGCTTTTCAACAAGAATTATCTCGCAAACCACGAAGTTTCGCATGATACATTTACCTCAGTTACGCCAGATGATTAGTCCTATGGACTACATGGGCAGCATAGATCTACAGGATGCCTACCTGCACATCCCCATTCATCCCGATTCCAGGAAATACCTACGATTTACTCTAGAAGGGCTACATTACCAGTGGAAAGTACTCCCATTCGAATATCATCAGCCCCTGGCTATTCACGAGGATAACGAAACCGATTATCATATTTCTACATCGTCAAGGGCTCACGCCAGTCGCGTTTTACCTCGACGACGGGATACAAGTAGATCAAGATCCACAGCGTCTCAAACTACAGTTAAATTACATCATGAAGCTACTAACACAACTAGGTTGGTTAGTAAACTTTACATAAGTCGGACCTAGTACCATCGCCAAGACCTGCAGTTCCTAGGTATTCGATTCATTACAAATCGCAACCGTATTATGGTACCAGAAGACCGTTGGCTCAAGATACAACAGACCATTCCACCAGCTCTACTCTCTCCGTTACCGCCGACAATGGCAGAGCCTACTAGGTCTTCTCACATCAGCCCAAGACATGACTGTCACAGGCAGATTACAGTTACGTCCCCTACAGGTCCTCATCAGCGCACATCTCAGCGATGTACAACCATTCAGTCTACCGAAACATCTCAGACCTCATCTACTATGGTGGACCAAGAAATCGAATGTCTGCGAAGGGATTTGTTTAGCAGAGCAGGAATACAAAACCCATCTGTATGTAGACGGCGTCACTCCAAGGTTGGGGAGCTCATCTCACCAACCACACGATATCAGGATTATGGAATCAGCAAGAATGCAAACTCCATATAAACAGTCTAGAAATGAAAGCTGTAATCAGCGCCATTCTACATTGGAGCACATTTCTACAAAATGCGCATCTAATGATCCATACAGACAATTCGACAGTGGCGTTCTACATAAACAAGCAAGGCTCAACGAGATCGATGAACCTTTTGAACCTAAGCTTTCAACTGTTCGATTTAATACAAGATCTAAATCTACATGTCAGAGCAGTGCACATTCGAGACCAGAAATATACTAGCAGGCGCTCTCTCTCTCGGCCTCATCTACCATCACCCGACAGAGTGGATGATCAACAGGGAAATATTTGCACAGATAATCAAGCAATTAGGGAGCCGCTAATAGACCTATTCGCCCGCAGCGATTCAACAATCAGCTACCGACATTCGTGTCACCAGTCCCAGACCCCCAAGCTTGGGCAGCGGACGGCTCTAAGTCTATCATGGGAAGGCCTCAATGCGTCGCGGCGTTTCCGCCGCCAGCAATAATACCTCAAGTATTACAGAAAATCAGACAAACACAGAGCCTACAACTCACTTTGGTCGCCCTACTGGCCGGCCAGAGCGTGGTTTCCACACTAATTCAAGAAATCGGTCAACCAGCACTGGAGCTACCCAAGCGCGCAAACCTGTTAATTCATCCTCACACCAAACAAGTGCACGGAAACCCAGCAATGTTCCAACTACACGTATGGACTGAATACAAATGTGTTTAAACAAGAGAGGATATTCTGCCAGGGCGGTAAAAGCAGTCACGCTTGCCTTACGTTACTCAACTCGTAACTTGTACGACGACAAGTGGCACAGTTTCGAAAATTATGCAGCAAAGAAAGGTTTTACAGCAAGAGAGGCTTCACAACCTCAAGTGGCAGACAATTTGTGTTACCTGCGCCAAAACAAACATTTAAAAGGTTCAACGATATCAACATATCTTGCCGAGCTTAGTTCTGTAATCACCATGAGAACGGGTGTCAAATTGACAAGATCTCCAGAGTTACTGGCCTTACTACGAGCATTCCGATTGGAGGACCAAAAGCGGAAGTTCCACGCCCCAGCTTGGGATCTGAATGTAGTGTTACAACACCTCACGAGTGAGGTCTATGAACCTTTGGAATCAACAACTTTTGAATTTCTCTCACAGAAAACACTGTTTCTGCTATCTCTAGCCACGGCAGCAAGAATGTCTGAAATTCACGCTCTGGATTACGAGAGGATACAGTTTGATGACAATCATAACACAGCGCACCTCGGATTAAGATGGGATTTCATCGCTAAAATCAACTGCCAGGTCAACCAGACAGATTATTCCACATCCCGGCGCTATCCTCTATTCTCGGATCACAAGATACACAAGACCTATCACTGTGTCCAGTAAGAGCTCAAAGTTTATTTCTGACGATCCAAAACAAGGAGAAGATTTCTCAAAGCGTTTATTCATCCCCTTATAAGCCTCACGAATCAAACAGAAGTGTCACGGACCACAATATCTATTTGGATAAGGACTGTCATTCTCCGTGCCTACAAGGCAGCAGGCTTGGACCCACCAACAGCATCAAATCCACATGAGATCAGGGCACTGGCCTCCAACCTCGCCCTACGGTAACTGTTCCTTGAACACGATTATGGAAGGATGCTATTGGAAATCTAACATGGTATTTGCTAATCACTACCTGAGAGACATCACTACAGAAGATGTCTCTAGCATTCACATTTCGGACCACTGGTCCTCGCTCAGCAACTGACAGTCCCTCAGAGGCGTTAAATATTATCCTCACAAGATTGATATGTATTTTATACATACTTATCTAGCTTATAACTCTACGGAGTTTTAGGGCTATGTATATATGTTCAGCTTAAGTTATTCAACCTTAAGCATATACTTTTGATATATTCAATTTCAGTGCCTCTATCAGAGTCACCTATATATATATATATATTATATGTATTGTTCAATATATTCATAATGTAATTCCCCTTTAATGGCTTTATATAACCTATGGTTTTTTATACAGGAAACATCCTAAATCTAAGCCTTCATGAAGTTCCCGTAGGGGATATTACAGTATATCTATACAAAATCACTAATTATAAATCCAAAGTATTCTGTTACTCCCACCTCCGTTCCGTAGGATGCTACAAGCAAAAGAGCATGAGTCAGGATAAGGAAAAATATGTAATTTTTGGAGTAAAATTGATATTTTATACTTATCCTGACTCATGAGGTTAGCCCTCCCATCCTCCCCACATAACACTTTGGATTTCCCTGTAAGTCCAAGTGTTGGGCTCGCAAAATCAGGAGAGAGTGAAGCACATGGGCAGAAGGTGGCGACACCTTTTCCCGCCAGGGGAGACAAAGGGAAGCAACTCGTGGTGAGTACCAATTAGTGATTTTATTTTGAAGGGAGCTTCAAATAAGGAGATACAAGTGTTCCACTATGTTCGCAAGAAGAAGAAGACAAGCAAAAGAGCATGAGTCAGGATAAGTATAAAATATCAATTTTACTCCAAAAATTACATATTTAACTAAGCATCAGGAGATTTAATTGATTTAAATGATGCATAAACTTGTTAACACTCACTGTGAGCTTTTTAAAAGCCCTTGTGCTATTTGTCTGCTTAATATAGTGTGATCATGCAAGCAAATTTTGATAGTGGAATCAAACAAATGCATTTGAACTGGAACAGCACCTGCTGATGTTTTATGACTTCAGAAGGATTCATTGAGGAAAATATTATCTGAATGCTTCTTCTTGAATGCAAGTACTTGCAAATGCTTCTAGATATTTAACATTTCCTTGAAGAAACCTTTTAGGCTGGCCCAGGACAAAATGTCCAACTTAATGTGTACATCAGTATCGCTGATCTTGTCAACACACACTAACCATTGAGGTAATTTCTTCAACAGATGAATGTGGTTTTAGAACTGGCACACAAGATAGAAGACTCAAGATGTAGCAGTATTCCATCCAGAGATCGACTTATAGAGAAACTTATCTTTGGAAAAGATGATGTTGTTTCTCTAAATGCTGCCAATGTTGATTTGGATTATGCAGTCAAAGGTTGGTGATTTTCAGCTCAACTTGACATTGTTGATGAGAGTTTGCTATTGACCTTTGGCTGGGTTTGTTATGGGTTGTCTGCAACACCATTTACTGCAGACTTTTAGTACCTGTGGGGTAATAAAATTCATTATTATACCCCCGCTACGAAGTAACGGGGGTATATAGCGTTCATTCTGTCCGTCCGTCTGTCCGTCTGTCCGTCCCGAAACTTTGTCCGGAGCATATCTCTTAAAGTTTACACGCTAGGTTCACCAAACTTCACACACATGTTAATCATTACCCATTGATGTGCCTTTTGCTATTTTAATTTTTTTCAGAATTTTGTTTTATTGCTGTTTCCATGGAAACACGACTTAGTGCCAAATGTGTTTGATGGTTTTGTCCGGAGCATATCTCTTAAAGTTTACATGCTAGGTTCACCAAACTTCACACACATGTTAATCATTACCCATTGATGTGCCTTTTGCTATTTTAATTTTTTTTCAGAATTTTTTTTTTTGCTGTTTCCATGGAAACATGACTTAGTGCCAAATGTGTTTGGTGGGTTTTGTCCGGAGCATATCTCTTAAAGTTTACATGCAAGGTTCACCCAACTTCACACACATGTTAATCATTACCCATTGATGTGCCTTTTGCTATTTTAATTTTTTTTCAGAATTTGTTTTGTTGTTGTTTCCATGGAAACATGACTTGGTGCAAAATGTGTTTGATGGTTACCTGGCCACAGCATATCATCGAAACTATACATTCTAGGTTCACCAAACTTAATACACAAGTTAATCATGACCCACAGATATGCCATGTGCTAAAAAATAACAATCTTCATCGACATCCACTTCATTGTGTGCAACAAGTTCAATTGTATGTCAGGTTTCCACGGAAAACACAAAAAAGTAATGTTTCCATAAATTATTACTGTAATCAGTACATGGCAAAACAATTATCTAACATGTATATAAAGTTTAGTAGAGTCAAGGAGAAAGTCTTGTGAGCTGCTGATCCTTGTCACATTATATATATCAATATCAGTCATTTCCATGTCCCAGAGTGGGAAGCGGGGGTATGTGAGCTGTGCTCAGTTCTACACTTGTTTTTCATGCAAGAAACATTTTCTTGTCGTGATCTCTCTTTGGAAATAGAATTTCAAGAAATCCATGATAAATGATGGAAGTTATTCCTGTTGCGTCTGTCTCTGGTAGTAAGTGTGAAGTGTTCATTTTATATCTGGACTTATGTTAGGGCTGTTTTATAAGATTGATAAAAAACTGAAATGTTGTAATTAGGAAGATAATATGTCATTGGTAATATCTTGAACAAACAATTTTGATAAAGTTAAGGTTTTATTTATACATACTATACATAGTTGCCACTTCTAAATTGAGTTCAGACCACTTTTTGTTTACCATCCATGCGTAAATGTGTCACCAATGTTACTGCTCTGGCCTTTATTTGTTATCAATTTATTTGATAAATATTGATAGCCAGCCCTCCCTTATGTTTATTTATTCAATATTTTTTCATATAATTTTATTATTTGTTTTTTTTCAGTAAATCTTTACATTATGTTTTGCGACAGTGTGAATAGGCATAGTTACATTACATTACATTCCCTCATTTCAACTTCCATTTAATCTATTCCATAGGGTCCTCTTTTAGCACATAACATTTACATTGTTCACAGCAACCATGGACCCGTGAAGATCTGGGGTAGAATAGGTCTTCAGCAACCCATGCTTGCCACAAAAGGCAACTATGACTGTCATAAGAGGCGACTAACGGGATCGGGTGGTCAGGCTCGCTGACTTGGTTGACACATGTCATTGGTTCCCAATTGCGCAGATCGATGCTCATGCTGTTGATCACTGGATTGTCTGGTCCAGACTCGATTATTTACAGATCACCGCCATATAGCTGGAATATTGCAGAGTGCGGCGTAAAACTAAACTCACTCACTTTCACAGCACCCATGATCAGGTTATTGCTAATGGTACCTTGAAACAAACCTTTGTTTCAGAGTATGGACATATATATCATAAGAGTCATACTTTGACTTGTTAAAAGTCATAATTCTGGTAATTTGATAGTTATGTGTCAGCATATTGTTTTCTTGATCTAAGCGGCTTTACCATGCAAAGTCTCAACAGAAGTTGTACAAGTTGTTGATTAGGTAAAAAATATCAAACATTATTCCTGGTGAAATGAAGGTTTCACATTCTGTTATTATGATCCATTCTCTTCCCACAGAGGTTACTCCTGTCATATCTTCCTACGTAACCTCTGTTCTAATACGGCCCTTTCATGGTGTGAGCGTTCAAGACTCGTGATTGGAGGCAATCAGATTTAGTTGTGCAATCAGCGACGTTGTTTCAAAAGTGATCATTCGCAAGGCCTCGGTAATTTCCGTATGCTTCGAGAAAACTAAACCTCTTCCCCTGCGCGATGCGCAAACGTTTCTTCTAGACAGAACTCAGTCATGTTATGGCGGATCAGTGGCGTCTCGTTCACCCTCGTTGACAACGGACAAGCTAGACATTAAACGTCTTGTGTGTAACATCAACACAAGTCGCCAGCAGATGGGGGATATTTGTGGCCCCACATTTGTTTGTGTTAGTAAAGTTGAATCTAAGTCGATGTAACACGTGTTCTGATTGGATAGAAAGAAGGGAGATAATTCGTGTTGCGATCTTTTGCCGCTATGGGATTTTACGAGAACCGGGAAATATGGCCGTATTAGAACAGAGGTTCGTAGGAAGATATGACAAGTAACCTCTATGGGAAGAGAATGATTATGATCATGATGCTATTTCTTAGTTTGATTTTGGCCCACACAACAACAACATAGAACAGGAAAGAAGTTGCTTTGAATACACCTGCATTATTATATTAAAGTGGGGAACATTTCACTTTTTTTGTGTGTGTGTATTCTAATTTTGAAAGGGAAAATATTTCTCTGTTGTTTTGTCAGGTGATCTTGAGGAATTTGACACAGCTGTTTTCTTTAAGGTTTGCTCTGTTCAAGTATTATTAAATATTATTCTACTTCAAAAGAATTTATGTAAGAGGAGAGTCATGTAAATTTATCCCCAAACCCCATACTGTATGTGCCAGTAAATTTTCATGGATCTTCAATTCATAGAACAATACAGAAAAGAAATGGTGGGTACTGTGGATACCAGATGTGGTTAGTTTTATTCATTTTTATATGTACATTTACAAAGTTTAATGTTGGCAAAACTTGGATTCCCACACACAGTTGTCAGGTCTACTAGACTTACATCTCCCAATGTTCACTTGCCTCCTCCATTGATAAGGAGGAGGAGCAGGTGTGCCATAGGATCATTTTGGCACCTGGACTCATTGGGTCTGGAACAAAAGTTGGAATTACCAAAACCCACCTGGCAGCTTGACCAACCTGACTCACTTGTCTCCTTTAGTGAAGTTTATGATGGCTTAGATAAAGATTATGCTATCAACAGTGAAACAACAACTAGCATCAATGAAGAAGGAAATTTCTCTCTGAGAACTTACCATCAAAGATAAATCAGACAAGAGATTAACATTCACTAGCCTGCCTGTTACAGACGTTGATGAGGCTTTGTTCATTCATCAACAAAAATTGGATTCTGTTGTTGGTTGATCAGTCTGGACACTAATCTTGAGATCCATTCTTCAACTAATACCCGGTTCGGATGCACCAATTTGCATCCAAGGGCAATTTTTAAAGTATTGGTCCAAACAGACCATCATACCCTATCACTGTAATTGGACAAAGCATGTGCTTCACACAATATCTCAAAAGCTGTGGGTCACATGTTCGCCAAATTTGTTCATTCAAATTCGACTTTTGCCCGAAACCTTGAATGACGTCTTGGAGATCTTCATGTTTGAGGAGGGGCGGTGGGGTAGCCTAGTGGTTAAAGCGTTGGCTCGTCACGCCGAAGACCCGGGTTCGATTCCCCACATGGGCACAATGTGTTAAGCCCATTTCTGGTGTCCCCCGCCGTGATATTGCTGGAATATTGCTAAAAGCGGCGTCAAACTAAACTCACTCAGTCAGTCAGTCATGTTTGAGGAAAACCACAGACTTGTCTAGTAGAACATCTTCAAGTGCTGAACAAACATGAATACAATAAAAAAATGTTGTTTTACCAACTCCAAATTGATTTGCAACTGTTCTGTACTCAGTTGTTGAGGCAAACCAGTGCAAAGCAATAGCAACCTTTTTTCTGGTGTCAAAAGGAAGATGTACATAGAGTTCATTTGGTTTTAGACACTGCTACTTTGGTATGAACCAACTTAAATACATCTTAACTCATCCTAAATTGTCACATCAATCTTTGTCGTGATCTAATCATGTCGTCCTACCATGGCAATTGCCTGTCATTCTTCCAACTAACTTTTCACAGTAGGATCCACAAATGAATGAGGTTGTGGCTTGGTTGGGAACACTTCTCCTAAGTTTTCTCCGATAGCTCTGCAGCTCTGCTACTAGTGTTGGGAATTGGTTGAAATCTCACAATTGATGATTGCTTCATTACCAACGAACAATTGGTAAGCGTCATTTTTAAGATTTTCCTATCCAGGTTGTTATTGCAGGTATGTTACATGATGCAACTTACTACTTTAAAGTTATGACTAATATATCATGAACATAAACTTCCTGGAGTCTTAGAGAAAAATTCAGTCATGACTTTTCAGTTCGTGAAGTGAGTTTTCTAAGATTTTAAACACGTTTTCAGGCCCTGACAACTTCTAAGATATGTTCCATTGTCAAGTATTGCAAAGACTAAAACAGTAGTTCCAAAATTGTTTATGTTCGATTATGAGAAAATGTGATCGATTGCGTGGTCGTTTGGTCACTGCGACCAATCTTCGATTATTTCAATTAATCGTAACACCACTAGTCGGTACATTACAATGTCAAGCTTGTGATTGAAAAGTGAATGAATACTTGGATGAAAATAATAATTTTTCCTTATCCTGATTCATGCTTAATT